AACTTTTAAATTATCAATTAGTGGTTTAAGATTTTATTTTAATAAAAAACACATGGCCCATAATATTTTGATGTAAACTCAAAACTTCTAAAATCACATACATAAATGGTTTTACAACAATTGTAATTTGGCAACATGGTTGCCTTCACCAGCTTCGGTCATCATTTTTAAAATTTTTGTAAACCGATCGCTTACGATTTGTTTACAGATGACTCTAAATACTTCGAGCAACATGTATAGAATTCTAAAAATTTAATCATACATTGAAAAGCTCTGAAGCATGTATAAGTGAGTGTATACATACAGACCTATTCTGCTTTGGTAACACAAATATTTTTTACTATCATGAAAAGCTTCAAACACAAAATCGTACATTAACCTATTCGGCGTTGGTAATATTTTTTTTTTACCGGAAAATACATCTCTCTTTTTTAACCCTTTTCGCATTCTGCGCACCCTTGTAGCCGGTAAAATTTGTTTCCATCTCAAAAGCAGGTAACAAAATATTGCCCCATGATATATACAACAACAGAATTTCTACAAAACTTCATAGCTAAAATGCTGAATAAATTAAAACGTTACCAAGGTTCCTATAATTTCGGTTACAAGAAGTGGTGACAATGTTTGGTAACAAAATTTGCTGGTTACAAAATTTTCGATAAAAAGCAGAATTGAGCTTCAGGATGTTCATGTTAGGTGCAGCCTACTGTAAGCGTACATATATATGTACGTATGTATGCGCGTAAATATGTCACGCGTATTTCGTCGCGGAGGACATGGGAAAGACGGAGACAATTTATGTTCCACATTTACGCGTTTGTTTCGGCGGAGGATGTGAGAAAGACGGAGACAACTTATGTTTCAAATTTACGCGTTTTTTTCCGTGAATATGAACAAAAAATTGGTAAATATTTATTCTTGCCCGATGAAAACAAAACGTATGGGAATTCATATACAAATGCATAGATTTTATAGTAGACTAATGCAATTTGTATATAATTAACATTAGCTTTGTTAATATGCGGCCACAAACACACTTTATCCACCAAATGGCTCGAAACATAACTTTTTCCACACTTCTTCAAATGTGTTTCCTGATGAAAACAAAATATAAGTACACACATATATAAATGCACAGATTTCTTATTGAACTAATGCATTTTTATATAAAAGTACACTGATTTTCTTTAAAATAATGATCACTTTTATCCACAGACGCCAACAATCGGTACTTGTTGACAAACACTTTGCGATTACAAACTTATTTTATTATTGATATGGACACTTTCACATACAAGCACCTTCGTCTTTTAGATATGCACTGAATATTCTATATTTAACACTTTAATTTATATATTTTCTAGATTAAATAACATTTCTCCAACCACTTGTGCAAAATAACCACAGAAATTCACATTTGCCGCTTTTCTTCTGTTTTGATTG